TTTTTTTTTTTTTTTTTTTGTCTGTTAATCTCACAGAGGCTGCTGAAGTCATCTGATCATAGGCAGGGCGTCATCTGTCTGCCTGGCATCTGGTGTCCAGATAAGATGCTAAGCGGATGTAAAGAGGAAAGTTGCCAAGGGCATAAAACCCACACCAACAGAGGGAAGCACACAACAGCAAGAATAGAAGCGGGGTTAGATGAACATGGGCGGTGCAGACAAAGCTTCAAAAGCAGGACTTTACCTCACCAGGAAAGTTCCACCTGGATGGCTTTACCTGTGTCTCCAGACAAGGCAGCTGTGCTTTTACTTCTGGCCAGGAACGAATGTGTGGGCGTCAGCAGTCTGCTAACAACGCTGCTCTCCCAGGGGCTGAGCTGCAGGCGGCGAGCTAAACGTCACCACATAAGCAAGGTATTAGGAACATTCTTTCTAGGGCCATGAGGGTACAGAACATTGTACTTATTGCCTCTATGGTCTGGACCTTTGAGAGAGAGAGCCCAGGCTCTCTAAGGAGGGCATTTGGCCACAAGTAAGAGCAACAGGAACCCCACCCAAGAGGAGCAGCTCTTCCACAAATGCCTTTTCCTCAAGATGCTGTTTGTGGCAGGTTCAAAGGAGGTGTTGGAGCAGATTTTGCTAATAATAATAACCCTTCTTAAGCAGTTGACAGGTCTTAAAAAGGAAATACCAGTTCAACCACAGGTTTGCCATTATAGACAACTCAAAGATGTACCTATCTGATGGTACTGCTGGCACACATCTCAACCAGAAGGCTTTCTAAGCGTCTTAAATAATCAGTCCCATAAAGGAAGGCTAATGGAAGACTAGATTACTAGATTTAGAAAAAAGACTGAGTGGGTTCTGTTAAATTATGGTAGATCTCCACAAACTGCTATTAGGGTAATCAGAGAGAGGTTAGCTCTAATAAAATAAAAGAAGACTCATATAAAGTCTGCATGGGGTTTCTTTGACCTTTCTATTCAGCAAACCAGGCTCTTTCAGGTCCTGTTTGGCACAATATAAAGCATTCAGCTGAGGATCAAGGCTAAAGCTGAAGGAAGACAAAATTAAACAGAAAAGCCATATCCAATAGAAATACAAATCTGAAGATTACCAATGGATGTCTAAAGAATCTAGAAAACAAACTTCAAATAGTGCGATGAAACATGGGCCCCAAACTGTACTGGGACTTGGCAGGGCCATGGGTAGGAAACACACGTGGATTATGAATTACTTTGATTACATTGTTAACTTCTATGATGGAGCTTATAAGTTCCTATGGATGTCATTACAAAACAATGACTGTATATCACTCTTTAAGAATGTGCTCTCTATCACTTCTGAAAGTCTTTAAAATCATCTAACTCTGACAAGCCACTTCTGCAGCCCTTGGGCACAAGTCTCTGCACCTCTGGAGCAGGTGTGCTCATGTCAGTCCCATACATGCCATTTCTCAGAATGACATTTTAACTCTAGGAGATGAGTTTTAGCTTATAAAAACCATATACTGCTAAATATTGTTAGTTACACTGAAAAGTTGTTTCTATGAAGTTAGAACCAACTTTCAGTACATTCCTTAATTATATGGCTTTATTTTAAAAGTGACTATTCTGATCAAAGCTTTAGTTAATTTAAGAACCAGTGAATTATCTATTAGTTTCTGTTTATTAGGAGAGTCTCTATGGTTAAACTATTATTATTTGGTTTTGGGTTCCTGAGACAAGGTCTTATTCCGAAGCTGGCCTCAAACGCATGGTAATCCTCCTGCCTCTTTGCCTGTCAAGTACTGGGATTACAGGCTTGAGCTATTATGCCTGGCTTCCATGGTTAAATATTTTCTAGCATTATAAAAATGAATACAAAGGTTAAAGTTAGTAGAGAGCACTATGGGCAGATGATATCATATACTGGTCAGGCAGTATGGGTGTCTATATGAAGACTAGAACATAGCCTAAATTGGAACATATACAAAAAAAAGTGATTAGAATTAATTTAAAGTCTTCAACAGAACTGTATGTTCAGTAGATGAAGGGGAAAGGAAAAACAGGTTTCCTTCTCTAATTTGAACTATACAACAATGGTTTTACAGCTATAGCACTGAAAAGTTGTCTTTTTCCTTTTCTCCCTTGAAAACTTCAATGACTTTACTTTTATGAGTCTTAAGGGCACCAACTATGGCATTTTCTTCACATGAAGATCATTTCAAAGCCACATTAACTTGCATTACTATAAATCTCAACTTTATGAATGAAAGATTTTCATTTAGAGAAACATATTTCCATTTTTACCACATTCATAATGTACATACAGGAAAGGGAGAGAAAGATTTCACCTCCATAAACTTAGTTAAGGTCAGTAAAGGATACTTTTCCTTCATTTTTAATCTAAGGGTTCTGGATCTTGAGATTGAGAAGCTGAGGGAGGAGATGCCATTATGGAGCTCTCTGGTATTACTACTATTTATATACTGGCATAAAATGCCAACAGTCCCCATGACAGATTGATCAATCAGATGAGGGGAGACAAAAATTAAAGGATGCACTCCAGCCAACAGCCAGCCACGAAGGTCCCAAGTTGGCAGAACTAAATGATCTGGGCTAAATCGACATTATACATCTTGTATAGCACATCTTTCCTATGAGCATGAAGCCACTGTTGGGTGTCAGGTGGTGGGTACCAAGAAGAAATTAGGTAGATGTTGCTAGACCTTGGTTGTTTAGAAGGAAACCTAAATGTTATATGAAATCTTCCATATATTAGGTACTGCCATTAATTCAAATGAAAGCAAGAATACAAAAAGCATCACTCAGGTTAAAAGAACAAGATTCTGGGCAGAATTCAACTCGAGATCTATCACTGTGTTCTATGATACTGATTCAAGGAGAAAATGTGTTGATATTTATTTATTTATTTATTTATTTATTTACTTATTTCAGAGACATGGTCTCACTGTGTAGCCCAGGGAAGACTTGATCTTTCTGTCCAGCCTAAGTGCTGGGATTACAGGTGTTAATCACACACGTCTTGTTTTGACTAATTTTAAGCTAAGCGTAGGCAATTTCATGCTTTTCTTTTTTAAGCTCCCCATTGATCTTTCTTGAGAAAAATGTGATTAAATGGGTAGCTTATATACAAGATAAAGATACATACTTTTAATGCCAAAATTTTCAAATGGCCACATTGTCTCTGTTGTAGCAATTATAGAAAGAATTAACAATCGCATGCTTCCTTTAAATCAGGTAATTGTATCAGTCCCTGTGACACTACATTCAGTTTAAAAATACAAATGTTATTTTCTTTTTTCTGTCTCTGATTGTGTGTACATGTTTTTAAAAAATATTTTATTATTCTTTTTTTTAATGTGTATGCGTGTATTGCCTGCATGCAGGTAAGTGCACCTGTGTCGTGCAAGGCCTGTGGAAGACAGAAGAGGCATTGGAGTTACAGACAGTTGTTAGCTGTCATGTGGGTGCTGGGATTTGAACCTGGGTCTTCTGAAAGAACAACCAGTGTTCTTAACTCCTGAGCCATCTCTCCAGCCCCATGTACGTGTTTTTATATTAGTGTAGGCACATGTTCACATGTATGTGCAGCCATGTGGAGGCCAGAGGTCAATGTCAGGTATCTAAATCACTTGCTGACACTTTTTATTTTTAAAAAAGACTTATTTTACAATGCATATCAGGAGCATATACTTGCGATGTGGGAAGCCAAGGATCACTTGAGCAGGTAAATCTGCACAAGTGCTTGTGTGCAACAAAGCAGTGACTCACCTATAAATGCAGCTCTGGGGCTCCTGCCTCAAAGTCAATCTGCTTCCTGAGATGGTTCCTATTTTCTGCCACCCTTGTCAGCTACCATCACATATATGGACACGGGAGAGATAAAGAGAAGGAACAACCAATGGCCTCTCCTCTAGACCTCTGCCTCAGAACACACTGGCTTAGCTCCCTACCAAAAGTACGTCCATCCTGCCATCCTGTGATGTCCACCCTCCCCACCACAGTTTGATTTTATAAGCAACCTTTTAATGGTTAATCCTCATTGTCAGCCTTAGAACCACCTAGAAGGCAAACATCTGGGCATGTCTGTGAGGGTTTAACTAAGGTGGAAAGACTAACCCTGAATATGGGTGGCACTGTTCCAGGGGTATAGGTCCCAGATTGAATAAAAAGGTGAAAGAAGGCAAAAAACAACAAAAAAATTAATTTTGTTATTTTTATTTTTTATTTATGTGTGTGTGTCTGCATGTGTGCATGTGTGTCTGTGTGTGTCTGTGTGAGTGTGCAGGTGCCCATGGATGCCAGAAGAGGGTGTCAGATTCCTTGGAGATGGGGTTATAGGCAGTTATAAGCCATCCCATATGGATGCTGGGAGCAGAACTCAGTTTCTCTGAAAGAGCAGTATATATAAACTCTTACCCGCTGAGCCATCTTAATTCAGTCCCTCATCTTATTTTTTGAGACATGGTCTCTTGCCTGAAGTTGAAGCCACCAATTAAGATAGACTGGCTGTCCAGCAAGCCCCAGGGAGCATCCTCTTTGCTTCCTCTGTGCTGTTTGTACCTGGATTTTTTATGTGGGTTCTGTAAGCTTTAACTCAGGTCCTCAAGTTTACACAATAAGGACTTTACTTTCTGAGTCATCTCCCCATGCCCAAATTACAAATATTTTAAAACAATTAGGTCACAGGCATAGACTTAGCAGTCTCCACTGCTTCTGAAGTGTCTGGGAAAGCACATTTGGTTTAAGTATCTATTTACTAAATGATACAGCAATATTTCAGTACATTTAATAACTAGTATAGCTGTTCAGATGCACTCCAGTCAACTATCAGCCCTGATGATTTCAGGGCTTCAATTTAATTTCAGTTTTAAGGTCACTGTCATAGGACTGAGAAAGCTTAAACAATTTAAATAAATATATACTATTTTGACATATTTGTCTATAGAGGCTTCTAATTTAATTTGATAAGATGCCAAGATTTAATTTGACAATGCTTTCTATGAGATAATAAGGCACAGTTAATGTTCAAAAATAGCTTTCAGAAAAGAATTGGTTCTAAACTGAGAGAAATTCAAATCCAGAAGAATTCTGACTCTCTTCAAAAGGCCTAACTACTGTCTTACTGAAGGTTTTGCCTAACCTTAAAAAAACAAACAAAAGCCACAACCTTCTCTACAGCAATGAGAACCCCTTCTGGGCTAACTTGATCTATTGGACTAGGAACTTGCTCACAGTTCTTTTGATAAGGGAGAGGAAAGCAGAATTTAATTCAGTGCCTCTCCTTCTTGTTCGATAGTCTTGTTTAATATTCAGCTTTCTAGGCCTGTGCCTTGATTCAAGGGGCAGTTTTTCTGGCCCAGCTCCAGACTAGTTATTGAACGTCTATTGATCTTAACCTTGGCATCCTAACTTCATTTTTAAAGAATGGACAGCTAGGTGTGGCAGTGCATGCCTATAATACCAACACTTAGAGGCAGGAAGATTGCTGCAAATTCAAGGCCAGCCTGGTCAATAATAGGTGTGTTCTAGCCCAGCCAGGGCTATATAGCAAGGCCTAATCTTAAAACAGGAACAAAGAAAGCACAGAGTTAATCTATGAAAGGGCACCTGGGAAGGTCACTGGAGGTAGGAAGTGCAGAAGCTGCATAGCAATCACATGGTGAGGGGCTACGATCTCACTTCTAGTCCCTCTTGTATAATAAATTGTCTATGGGCCTGTTAAAAGCCAGATTCTCAACCTATGAGGGACTCAATCATCCCAAGTGGAATAGATAGATGATCTATCCAACGGATCTTTCTCGATCCTAAAATCATATTACCCTAAGAATATCCAATCAGATAGCATCATGCAGAGTAGGTAAGCCTCATCTTATTTCTAACTGATACAGACAATGCAGCACTGCCATTCCTCAGAGAGGTAACAGGGCACTATCCATGCTAAAACCTGTCCTCCTATTCTGATCTTTACCCTAGCTTCAGTGATGGGACTGTAGGAAGCAAGAAGGCAAGGTTTAGCTTAAAGGTATTATAAATTCCTAGTTGTGGTTTGTCTCAGACCCAGGTTCACAAAAGTATGAAATTAAAGTGCTGGTTATGTGCAGAATTTAAAAGAATAGGTGAACAGACAATTTTAAGAACAGCATTCACACATACTATATTTTGTGTCCTATTAAGGAAGTGGGTTTGAAATAAAAGTCTATGGCCACCTGATTTCATCTGAAATAAAAAGATATTGATGAAGGAAATTTTAATTAATAATACACCACCTAACTTGATTACATTCTCATATTAATTAATAATTGATTAATAAATAGCACCTAACTTGATTACATTCTCATATCAATGCTTTAGGCAAATTTAGCTTAGAAAAGTAATAGTTTGGGTAACTAGGCAAGGATAGAATGGTTCAAACATTTACTACTTTTTAAAATAATACCAACATTCACATATGATATATTACAATGGCACCATAACAATACAAAATATACAATACAAAATATATAAATAGACATACACATGAACATGCACACATTACATTCTTTTTTAAAGGTTATAAACATGGACACTTTCCAGTTTCTTAATAAAGTACTCAAAATTACCACAATTTGTTATTTTTAAGAAGAGTGTGCTCTTTTATTATACAACAATTCTTTGGTTTTATTTAAAATTACCTTAGTTATATAAAACAAGCAGCTTATCCTAAAAAGCTTGATTGCGTCTTCATAACATAAAACTTTTACTTATAAATAACTGAACATTCATGTACTGTAAATCCATAGGCTGCATAAACTCCAAACTTGGATGCCAGTGGGAAGACCATGATTGTTAACTTTTTAAGAGGCAGTAATGGTGACAACATTCTTAAAGTTAGCCAAATCCCTAGGAATAAATGAATGACACCAAACAGCCAATCACACACAGAAGAAATGTTTGATTAAATGAGAAATAAATGGGTCTAAAGAATCTGCTGTCATGAATCATTTCAAGTTTTCTTTGGAAAGCCAGAGCCTAGACTTTCACGGTAGAGACGAGGAGCCACAGACATGTGATTGAAGTAAAAGAACTGTTCATACAAAGATCACTTGCACTCTGGCGGTAAGTGGGTGACTTACGGAGCGGTACACTCAGTTACTACACTGCTGAGACACACCGCTGTCACCACTGCTAAACGCACTCATTCAGCCACCTTCTAACACGAGAAATGTTCTTGTCGCAAGGAAAATGCTGCTCAGTCGTTTATTGGTTTTTTACTCTGAGGTTTTTTTCTTCCTATTTAAGAAATGTAGGGAAAGCAACTTCAGATGCTATCATCCGTACATAGTGAGAAAAAAAGCATTAAGTAAACAACAGAACACGTTTTGTTTTCCTTTTGACTGTACCTCTATCTGGAGAATTTAGCAAAGTTGCAGATGAGGACGAAAGTCGCTTGCTAATGACAGGATCAACATGTTTCGAAAGATTCATGGTGGAAACTGACCGCCTGTCTGGATCTAAAACAAATGGAGATAATGCGAATTGACAGCCAGCATGCAGGATTGCAATTTCCTAGTTCAGTGATGGATGAAGAAACTAGGAGAGGAGGTGTTTAGCTCCATTTCTAGATCTTTCATAACAGCACAGTTTTCTAAGGGGACATATTAAAGGTAACTTAAAGGCTAGAAATAAAACTCATTTTTCTCATGGAGCAAAATATTTAGTTCACCAGTTTGAAACTCAAGTATGTTATTATAACATAAGCAGATGAAGGCAAAGGCAAAGGGTAGCTGATGAGGGCTGACTGAAGCAGAGAGGGGACCGCAGCAGTGCATGCGGGTCGGGGAGGCAGCGGTGCTGGCGAAATAAAACAAACCCTGGGGCTCTGTGGGCTTGTGGACACTTCTACTTGTAAAGCATTTTACTCAGGGCACTAAAGTTCATTACAGAAGAATGACTGTACAAACAAAGGCCAGGTGTACTGGTGCACATCTGTAATCACAGCTATTAGGGAAGCCAGAGCAGGATTGCAAGTTTAAGGCCAGCCTAGGGAGTCTTTGCAAGTTTCTTGCTCTTTTTGCCCTCTATGATCTTCCTCCCTCCTTCCCTCCTTCCCTGTTTTTTGAGGTGGGGTCTCCCTCATGTAGCCGGGGCTGGCCTCAGACTCACTATGCCTCTAACTCCCAAATACTGGGATTACAGAGGTGTACCACCCAGTGCAAGTCTGTCTTCATTTCCTCCTCCTTCCTTCTTCCTGTTTCCTTCTCTCTTAGTTCTGGGGATTGAACCCAGGGCCTGGTGCATGTTAGGCAAATGCTCTACTACTGAGCTACATCCCTAGCCCTAAAACTCTATCTCAAAATAGAAAATAAATAATTTTTTAAAAAGTGCTCAAGTGGTACATGGCTTTCTTATGCCCATGGCCCTGGGTTCAACCCTTGATACTGCACAAGGGGGCGGGGGGGGGGAGTTCAAGGTGTGAAAAGGAAGAATCAGTATACACACTTGCCCAACAGAACTGAGAGCAATATAAGTCAGAATTCTAAGTTGAATGTTAAAATTATCCTGCAGCCAAATAATTTAAGAATGATTTTTAAAGTTCATATCAGAAGAGAAATAGTCATTATAAAGGCAAAAAAATCAGTTCTGTTCATTTGCTGCTGGTACAGCAGATGCAATCAAGCTTATGCTCATTAGCACAAACCATGACCCCTGAATAACATGACTAAAGGCTAACTGTCTCACTGGGTATTTGTCAGCAGGCAAATGGATGTTCAGACCTACAACAGCTAAAGTCAAAGAAGCTTTGCCATATTTTCTACTGTTAACTGCTTATAAAAGCAAAACAAAACATTCGTTTTGCCTTAAATCTCTTCCCATTTGTTTGACTAGCCTTGGTAGTAAATAGTTTGCCAAGAATGTCCTCTATACTATGATCATTTTGATCATTATTTCTAGTCTACCAGTAGTAAGTCTTTCAGTAGTAAGACAGATATCTTAAACTGGAATTTATTTTTATAGTTGGAATTTATAATTAAAAAAAATTGGCAGGCAGATCTCTGTGAGTTCAAGGCCAGCCTGGTCTACATAGTGAGTTCTAGGACAGCTGGAGCTACAGGGAGACCCTGTCTCAAAAAGACCAAAAAAAAAAAAAAACCAAAAAACAAAACAAAAAAAACACCCAACATATTTTCTGTGACTTATATTTATACTTAGCTGATGAGCTCTTGGGCAATCCTATAAAAGGAAGTATTTTAGGAGGAATACTAACAGGACACCTAATGATGACATGTGGGGCACAAGCACAAGGAAGGGTAGTGAAAACCATGCCCAAGTAACTATAACAACATACTTTCTGACACTGCTTCACATGCTAAGCTTTAGCTGGGGAGGCTACATAACAACAAGCCTATCCCAGGCAGCTCTCAACTCTCAATAGGTTACTGAAAACACTTAGCTCCATTTCAGAGTTAGTAGGAAAAATTAACTAGACTATGTCTTCCCATCCACTAACACACTGAGTGGTAAAGTCTTGAAATCTGCTACAGATAGTTAAAATGATGGAGGTATGCCATGAGTGTGTTATTTGAAACAATTTTCATCCCTTTTTTTTTGAACGAATAAACAAGTTTACAAAAGGACTGATAATTTTTAAAGTAAAATTGCTTTTATGGTAGTTCCAGCTCAGGTATGAGCAGTCAGACAAGACACCAACTTTCATGGAGACAGACTCGAGGACTGGCGGCTGGTCAGCTGGCCTGGGTTGAGTGCTTGCCATGCTCAGGCATTGCCATGAAGTTCAGAGTATTCAATATGGGTAGAACCCGGATGCCACTCTCAACACCACAGCAGACCACTTCTTAGTTTTTGGGAACTTTGGTAAGTTCCAATCATTTCTCAGGCAAATATCTCTTTAGCATACTGGCAATTTGCTCCATCCAATTCAGTACTTATGAACTAGATTTTTACCTAATAGCTTATAAATGTGTCACTGGCTTTCTTACGCTGAATGGGAGAATAGAGTGGGAAAAGCAAGAATTAAGACTAAGTAGCTTAATTTTTCTCCAAGATGTCTGACACTGTATAACAGAAACTTCTGTCATACACATAGACACCAAGAAGCTCAGCCAAAGAAAAATGAGGTTGTGAGTACCTACCATGACAATTTTTCTATACGGAGCATATGTGAAAATTATCCCTAGCATGAAACATCATATACAAATGATCATTATGATCACAGATTTGGTGTGTGCTCTTCCAAACACCATGGGGTGGTGAAGAGCCAAGGGAAAAAAATGTGCTTTCACATTTGGCTCAGTGTCATAGGAAAATAAGTGGTTATACTCACTCAACTTTTTTTTTAAACAAAAGGGTTATGAAAAATAGTAATGAAAACACAGCAAAGAAGCAAACAAAAATTCAGTTACTCAGATTTAAAAAAGGTAAACGTGACTGACTACCAGGAGGACAGACAGCAGTGGGAGTTGCTAAACTGGGTGCACTTTGATTGCAGGTAATTTTTCAGATAAAAGATAGTTTAAAGGTTTTTTTTTAATTAAAAATAATTAAGAGAAAATAAATATGCCACATATAATTATTTCAATACCTTTAAGTCACTTGAGTTATAATACCACACTTAAGAAACACTGTGCCAATCCCAGATCTAGGGCTATGCAGTAGACAGTAGACATGCATTATGTAAGGTATGATGGTTCAGCTATCCATGAACTGGCCCTAAGTCTGAGGTGCTAGCTACAAGGCAGGCAGTCAGCAACCACAGGATGTGTATACCAGGTTTTCCAGTCCCACCCAAAGCTGTGAAGTGGTGGTGTAGGCCTGCTAAACTGAGAAAGGTGCATGATGACTCAACAAAACCACCTGGGGACAGAACATAAGACATGGTTTTCAAAATAAATAAGTAAACAAATAAATAATCACTAGACTCACAAATGAGAAAGAACTGACGTAAAAATTCAAGGCATAATGAATTTACAGTACAAAAATAAAGTCTTTTACTAAGTTCATATTTCAATATGATTTTAGTATTGACTTTACTCCTTCTATACTACTACAGAAAAAAAATGGAAAGAGTAAAACTGGTTAACTTATTTCACAATTCTTAAAACTTCAGGAAAATTAATTACTAAAACAGAGTTTAGACTAGCAAGTTTTAGAAATGCTGCATAGATTTCTAGGAAACTTTGCAACATAAGAGAAAAGCAGTTTGTGCTAAAGGAAACAGGGGACCTTTCTTACCTCCATCACTCTCAAGGCCAAACAGTAAAAGCATCATTTTTACGGTATAATGATAAGCAGGACTTTCATTTTGGAGTTAGAAAAAGTAGCAATGTACTTTTGCTGTCCAGGAAAACACAAAGCCCAAATCAAAGGAGAGGCTTGCAAGTGGTGTCTGCACTTACCTGCCCTGTGGATGCTGGGGTTCCCATGGAGAGGGCCTCCCCAGGACCACCGGTTATGCTTCTGCTTTGGCTTCTGGCTCCTTTCCATTGTACGGCGTACAACAGCCTCATGGCGTTCCTTGCATGGAAGAGAACAGCCAGTGGTTAGGATCAACCCAGTTGTTGAAGCTCCTGCAACTTATGGCAGATTAAAGAGGACTACCTAAATCTCCACCCTACTACAATGCTGCTGTTATCATCTATTTCCTAACTTCTGAACTTTAAGATGAGAATAGTCGTCTTACTAAAACTATTAGTTCCCAGTTCAAAAGCCCTTGATGTATAACAGATACACAAATAAATACTCCGACTGTGTGTGAGCAATACATAGAAGAATGGTAATGCAAGACTTCACTTAATATACCCTACTCATTTAATTATTACTTTTTTGTGGGGTCAGAGAGATTCAACCCAGGGCCTTGTGCATGTTAGGCAAGTGCTCAACTCCTGACCTATATAACTTCAGTCTCACACTGTGCTGTATTTTAAATATGGAATTCAGAAACTGAATAATTTATTTCTCTCTCAGCATAGTGAACATAAACCTATTAAGGAAAAATGAGAAAAAAAACCCTCCCAAGAGCGGGTGGGGCTTGATCCAAGGGAGAAATACCCTCCTTTCTTTTTGAGGTATGGTCTTGCTATGATGCCCTGGCTGGCCTTGAACTTGTGGAAATCCTCCTGCCTCTGCCTTCTGAGTGCTGGGATTACAAATGTGTGGCACCATACCAGGTAAAAGCATGCATGGCTCACTGAATTACATAACCTTGTGTTACCCATTTCAAGTATAAACTCCCATTTATTTACAAAACCTTATATAATACTTGAGGGTTGAGTGAGTGTTAAATGGAGCACTATGTGGAAATGTTCACTCACATATGGAAAGATCCACTTGGTGTGGTCTGAAGAAAGCAGTAATGAATATTAGACTCACATGAGAGAAATGAGTTTGCAGAGTTCCAGTAGCAACACTAAAAACCAGCATCTTCCACCTACTGTCACCCCGCCCTGCCCCACCTCCTGCAGCTATCTATACTGCTGACTTCATGGAAACTGCATCTGGCAGTAAGAGAAGCAGGGGACCCTCCTCCTCAGAGCGTGATGCACCTTGTCCTCTTCCAGCCTCTGTCTTCGCTTCTCCTCCACTGCAGCCCTCCGCCGCTCTTCCTTGAGTCGCTGCTCCTCCAGCTTCTTCTTCCGCTCTTCCAAGTGCTTTTCATAGTGCTGCCTGGCTCGCTCTTCTCTTTCTAGCCAGATGATTTCTCGAGCAGCTTAGGGAAAAAAAGGGAAATCCAACACAGGCAGGTTTAGGACTTGAATAGTCAGGGCTGGCTAAGTGGTCCACATTGAACAAATTCAGGTTCTGTGATCTTGTACTGGTCAAGTCTGGTCTTTGCTTTCTTCAGTGAGTCAAAAAAGATGCCCTGAACTCTGCTCTTTGGGAACCCGCGTAGCTCTCTAGTTTAGTATATCGTAGTCATAAACCGTAGGCTCTGATACTGATATGCTGCTCTAAAATCAATAGTTCCATGTGTTTCTTTTTTAAAAAAATGTGAAATCCTGGTCTGGCAAGATGGCTCATCAGGTAAAAGCACTTGCCGTGCAAACCTGACTACCCGAGTTTGATTCCTGGAGTCAACAGTGGAAGCAGAGAATCCATTCCTCAAAGTTGTTCTCCAATTTCCACGTGTGTGCCTGCACACACACACACACACACACACACACACACACAAAATCATATGCACAAAATAATAGCAATAATAATGATAATAAAAATCTTTTGAATGTGATATCCTGCCAGACATGGTGGCACATATCTGCAACCCTAGCACTTGAGAGGCTGAGGTAAGAGGATTGCCATAAGTTCGAGTCCAGTCTAGGGTACATAATAAGATCCTGGCTCAATAAACAAAAAGTGATATCCTCCAGCTGTCCCCTTTCTTTTTCTTTGCTTCCCTTCCTTCCTCCCTGCGCCCCTTTTTTCCTCCCTCCCTCCCTTTCCCCTCCCCACCTCTCCTTTTTATTTTGTTTGTTTGTTTGTAGCTCAGGTTGGCTTGGAACTCACTATATAACTCAGGGTGGCCTTGAGCTCACAGCAATCTTTGTGCTCCAGCCTCCTGAGTACTGGGATCACAGGGTTAAGTCACCACATCCAGCTATGACTACGTTTCTTTCATTGTAGCACTGGTTCTTCTACTGGAAGTATGAAAAAAGTGTGGAGAAAACAATTAGTTGAGAAGTGCCTCAGGTGCCTCACAGGTATATTACAGTGAGCTAAGCCAGGAGAGAGATCAATGGGCTGTTCTGGCATTCAAGCTCACAAATACAGGTAGATGACCCCTAACCCTATCAAAGCCAATGATAAAGTTCAAAAAACAGTGTTGAGAGGCTGGGGAGATAGCCTAGTCAGTACCATACTTGTGCAAGTATCAGGACCTGAGTTCCAACCCCAGAACCATATAAAAAGCTGGGTGTGGTGGTTCACACTTATGATCCCAGAACTGGGGAGGCAGAGACAGGTGGAATCCTGAACTCTCTAGTCAGCTGGCTTAGCTTAGCTGGCAAGGCCCAGGTCTTATTGATGAGAGCCCTATCTCAAAAACCAAGGTGGATGGCTTCTGAGGAATGAAACTGGATACTGACCTCTGGTTTTGACACACATGTGCATACATACTTGGGCGCGCACGTACACACGCATGCACACACACATGCACACACATACACAAAACAAAACAAAAAACATTGTTTAATGACAGAATACTTTTTTTCTCCATTATATATGTTCCTTCTCCATTTTAGGGGACAATGTTACCTACGGAGCTATTTCATTTAATATGATGCTTTCTTTAGCTATGACAACTAAAAAACATGCACGAGCTATTAAGTATATGTGAAAACGCCCAAACAAAATTTGGAGCATAGATCCTTTTTTACTTTTTTTTTTTTTTTTTTTGAGACAGAGTCTTATGTAGCCCTTGAACTTGCTATGTATCTTAGGATGACTCGAAACTCCTGATTCTTTTGCCTCCACCTCCCAAGTACTGGAATCCCAGGCATGCACCACCACACTTGGCCACCTTCCAAGTACCACAGGCAAGTACCACCACACTTGGTTAGGTATTTTGCATTTCTGACAGCACTCTTTCTCCAAGTTTGTCAGTTGTAGCTGGTCATGGTGGCACATGTCTTTAATCCCAGCACTTGGGAGGCAGAGGCTGGTGGATCTCTGTGAGTTCAAAGCCAGACTGGTCTACCTAGTGAATTCCAGGACACTGGGGCTACAGGGAGACCCTGTCTCAAGAAAGACAAAAGAAATTGTCATTTGTGGGGGCTGGAGAGATGACTCAATGCTTAAGACATTGGTTGCTTTGGTTGCTCTTGCAGAGGACCCGGGTTCAATTCCCAGCACCCACCCATATGGCAGCTAACAACCATCCATAATTCCAGTTCCAAGGGAATCCGATGCCCTCTTCTGACATCTAAGGGCATTGCATGACAAGGGTGTACTTACATCCATGCAGGCAACGCACTCATAAAATAAAAATAAAATATTTTTTAAAAAGTTTGTCATTTGATGACATGAACCTTCTGAAAGAGCTGAATTAACTTGATGTTGGTGGGAGAAAAAGGATAAATTTAAAGTGGCTATATCCTTATGAACAATTCAGGGCAATGTAGGAGAAGGGCTGAGTTGACATGTGAGAAGTCAGGGTTCCCCCAACAGCTCTGCTACTGAGGACTGCTGAGACCTATATGGATTTCATTTTATTATTATTATTTTTATTTTATGTGTATGAGAGTACTGCTTGCATGTACATGCAACTGTGCCAGGTAATGCCCCAGGAGGTCAGAAGAGGGTGTCGGATTCCCCTGGAATGAAGTTACGATCTGTTGTTAGCTGCCATGTGGGTGCTGCGAATCGAAACAGGGTCCTTTGCAAGACTAGCCAGTGCTCTTAACTGCTGAGCCATCTCTCCAGTTCTGGATTTCAGTTTTATGTGATCTAAAATGAGGAACCTATATATATATCCCTATGCTCCTATAGGAATTCTCAGGCTCAAGTTAAAATTTTACTTTAAGAAAAAGCACTTAATACATGCTCAATATAACATGCATTAATTGAGTGAATACAAAAGACATTGTGAGAACTCATCTTAAACTTAACAGGAGTACATAATTCTGAAATTTTGCTTTAGTTACACTTGCTTTGATCACATACACTCATGCACATAAGGTCTGGATTTTCTACATGGGAACACCTTACCGGCAAGCTTTTAATGACAGTATATCTTTTAATTCATATAGAAAATGAGTTTATATGGCAGATCTTATTGAAGTTTATATAGCACAAAATATTAGCAGGTGAAATGACTGTCTTCTTCTTAGCTTGAGCCCTCTTACTGCACTTCTGTCTTTTTGAAACATGTACACCATGCATATTGTGCCATAGAACAACTATTACTCTGCACTTAGCTTTTTTCATTTAAAAATCTTAGCGATCTTTCCATATTAAAACAGGAAAATCCAAATAGTATTTTGGGTTTTATTCTAAGAGTATTTTAATGGCTCTGTAGTATTTTATTGTCTAAGCATCATTCATATAAAGTTATCTACTGACTGATAGGTTATCTAAATCATTTCTAGTATTTTACTAATTTAGACCTTTAGCAAATACCATTGTACTATTAGAAATCTCTGTAGATGATGTGGGTATATCCATGTATAAGCAGAATTGCTTCATCAAAGTCAAATTTAAGAATCTGAAAGATATCGATTTGGGTAGTATCTGCACAGCATTTCTGAGGCCCTGAGTTTGGTCCCCAGTATTGCAACACAATGCAATGAAATGAAGCAAATAAAACCAACTAAACACTAGTGACTCTTTCTTTCTTAGATGTGAACTCTGATTTCTAAAGTCCAGGTTGCTTTCCTTCCTCTGGTCTCACCACAGCCTCTGTACTACAGTTAACCTATACACCTTGCTCTGCTTCCTAGCAAACCAAGCTTGTTCTGTCTCTGTTCCTGTTCTACCTCGGCTGGAAAAGCTTCATAACTTTAACCACAGCTGATCCATCCTGGAAGGCAGTGGCCTCATACCTGTTATACATATCAAAATAAATTTTGGAAGTCTGGGTGGTGAATGGTCTAGTTAAAAATCAAATCCCTGGGCTCCAATTCTCATATTCTGGATTACTGATAAAAAAAAAAAAAAAACAAGGCTCAATTCTAATTTTTGTGGTGGTGCTGGAGACTGAATCCCTGAATCTTGCAGGGAGATCTGAGATAAATGTCTGCTGGTGGCATGTGAGGAGACCTTGCATCATACAGTCTTCTGGAGGAACCCTGACATCTGCTACAAGGTTTAGCATTTCCTACACTCCAATTTCTATGTAGAAAAGGTCATCTTCCCCACTCTCCACAGTGCATGTTACAACATGAACACAAACATCTTAATAATTACTTCCTGGTTCGTTGTAACTGTTGATTGGCTGACCCCTAACTGTGTGGGATTGGATAAGTTATCTAGGATGAGTTCTATTAGGGTAGTTGTGGGAAAAAGTAGGAACTTTCCTATTGCTGTGAGGATTAAGAAAATAATCATACTTAAAATAGCTACAACAGTTCTCTGTCCCAAGCATTTCACATTTGTCATCATTTCAATTGAGAAAATAAGAGGTTTTACAGTTGTGCTATAAATCACACAGGATTTGACTCAAGTAATGGCTAATTTTACATCAAATAATCCTTTGAAAGAAGGATTTCTTTTCTTTTTTCTTTTGGGGGCCACTGGGGGCAAAACTGTAGCCTTGCACGTACATACCATGCAAGTATTCTACCACCGAGCTACATACCCAGCCTAAGGAAGAGTATTTTTTCATACAAACTTCTATTTAACTTGCTTTTAACAGGAAGTAGGGTCTGTAAACAGTCATACAGAGAATAGGCAAGCAATGTTGAAATAGCAAATATCACTTTCTGGTTATTGCAGAGTCTGCTGGTGAGTGCTAGGATGAGTTGCCAAGTATAGATCATGTCATGCTTTAAAATGAAAGTTAATACTTAAAAGATTTCAGTACATTAAGAATTGAAAGCATATTTATTGTAAGAATTTTAATTTAAAGTATTCTCTACCAGTAATAGTTCTGAGGTTTCATATTTTCTCAGTAAGAAATGAGAAATGTGTAAAAGAACTAGAGCTGGGATTTGAAAAAAAACTGATTCCAAAGCACATTCTATCCTACCCTAAACCAGAACCTGCTTGGTCTTGCCT